CTGTTATCACTCACACATCCCCTATTTAACTCTCACTCTGATCCCATTGCACTGCCGAGTATTGTTTAGCACTTATCGTCGGATAGCTACACTACAGAGCCCCGTTAGCCTCCTAGCCTAGTTTTGCCTTGCCTTGTCTGTTTTCTCCGGTTTTGATCTTCGCCTGTTTTCCTGGATTTCTCCCTTTAGCCTTGCCCCTGTGACTCTGTCTGCCAATCGTCGACCCACGCTAGCCCTAGGATTATTCTTGTGTATTGCCCGCCATATACCTGTTTGCCACTGTTTCGACCCTGCCTGTGTTTCTGACCTTCTCTGCTTTAAATAAAGCTTTGTTTATGGATCCGCACGTCTCACATCTTGTCAGCCCCATTACAATAAAGTTCTTAAGGGGAATTTTGACATCTCTCTAGAGGTTTAGCATTCAAAATCCCTAGGTCATCAGCATGCTCGACGCTTCAGAGTTCAATACAGTGAATGTGCTTCCTGCACATTATAATGAAAAGCAGGTCACTGCCCCAGGCACTGGCAGTTAATTTACTCAGAATTCAATGCAAATACATTTGAGCAATTCACTAACACTGGACTCATAATTTATAGCACATTAAAACATTATAGACTGGCAGAAAATGTAACTATGACCATGTTATGGATTTAAGACTTCCACGAGAAGTCTATTAAAGACACAGGCTGGGTCCAAGCACATGTTAAAGGAATACAAAACAGACTATGGAATTACAGTCAGAAAGACTTGCTCCTAACTGGTGAATGTCATATCCATGCAGGACACTGTCATTATCCATGCAGGCTACACACTGCAGCTAAATACAGTTGTAATTTATTTTCTGAGTGCTTAATCCCACTCTGTAAACACAGAGTTTGGTTATTTATGGGAGTGACAACTGTATTCAACAACCAAAATCACTTTTGCATCCTTTTAAAGTTTAAAAACTATCCATTGCCATTGTATAGAAAAGAGCGACTAACAAAATGTCTTTTGTCATATCTCTTTAGAAACACATACTGGGTAAAAACAAAATTTTTAATTTTAACAACATACATATTACTAGAATATAACAGGCTGGCTGGAGAGTGTATTAATTGGTCATTACTGTCACTGACCTCTAATGAGGTGACGGTTCTCAACTCTGAGCTCTCTGTCCCAATAGAGCACTGTGCACAGCACACACCCTAATCTGGATTATCAACTAAAGTAGATGTGTCTCTAATCCGTCATTGCCAAACTCTTGCCTTAACCACTTGATTTCGGATAGGTGGGAAACACAAGACAGTGGGGCTTCGTTATCGGTATGTCCCGTTGGACCCATGCTGATGTCTACATGTTCCCTTCCAAGCTTCATCTACTTAGATTTCTATTATCTAACTAGAAAATTAAATGTTTGAAGCAAGTACAAGGCAGTTATTTCAGTCTACTGCAGTTCAAGTTTCATGCAGGCAAACACATAATTTTTTGGCAGTGTAATAATTTTTTTCAAGGAGGTAGACTTTTTAAAGTTGGTGTGCAATTAAGTTATTTTCTAAATGCATATTAAATATAATTGTGAATGATTAATTCATGTATATGTTATATTTCAATCAAAATAGCATAACTCTATCTTCTGGTGAAACAGCAGACTTCTCTCTGGTGACCTATGCAGGACTTCTCCAATCATTAAGTCCAATGAGTAACCATTAAGGGTCAAAAGTAACCATTTTTATATTATATTATATTATATTTAATTATTATTATTTTTATATTAATTTAAACAATTATTATCAAACAATTATATTCATTTAGTAACATAATTATATCTTAGTGTAGGCTATATCTTTAGAGTTTTATAATTCATTATCTTCTTGTCGATCCACCTGTTCACATTTACAACTGGGTGTTTTTTGCTAAAAATAAGGGTTGTTTTTTGCTTTGGTCTAAACCAGGGGTAGGCAAGTTTGGTCCTAGAGAGCCGCAGTCATGCAGAGTTCAGCTCCAACCCTAATCAAACACACCTGAACAAGCTAATCAATGTCTTCAGGATTACTAAGGCTATAGGCAAGTGAGTTTTGTTTTCAGGGTTGGAGCTGAACTCTGCAGGACTGCGGCTCTCTAGGACCGAACTTGCCTACCCCTGGTCTAAACAAAGAGCAGAAGGGCTTATTGAAAAATTCAAATTCAGCTTTTCGCCAGGAATATAGCCATTTCCCCCGTAACCGCAGTAAACAAAGAAGCGCAGCACCTGACTTTGAAAGTTGCAGCGCTCATATTTAATCAATTAAACCATAGCTTTTTGAAGTGTAAGCTATATCTCATTATACATGTAAATATACATTTACATGTATATTTAGTTTTTTTCACTGTGGAGCACCACCTAAGTCTTCTCCCATTTCTACCAGTGATCATTGTTTTCTTCCCGCGGTTCTACCTGCGCACACATCAATAGCATCACTGGGCTGTAGGTTGCCAAGTTGAGAAGACAAATGGGTAGAAATTTGTAAGCGTCGATCGTGTGAGAAAGATGCGTTTCATACAAGATCTGGCAACTGGACAACTTTGGAATTTGTTGTCGTGATTATTCATAAAATTAGGTTTGGCCCATACAAATTACGGGAGATTTACCGGAAGCGAATGTAGCAAACACATAAAATACGCCAAGTGGGATTTAAAAAAAATTTTTTTTAAAAGATTAAAAATACGGGAGAAATACAGGAAAATATTTAAACGGTATGATAGCGGGATAGAATGGTAAAATACGGAAGAATCCTGGGGAAAATGGGAGGGTTGACAGGTATAATCAAGTCCCGCCCTACAATTTTTTTATTTTTTCATTTCGATTTTACGTATTACTCGGGTCTATGTCACAATTTTAAAAGTTACAAAATAACAAAGTTATTTTAAAATCACTGCTTCCATTTAATTCCAACTTTAAAAGACTTTTCAAACTATTTTCTGCTCGTAATCGATTGAGGTGCATGGTCATGTGAATTCACTGCACTGACCAACAGAAGCCGGATTGGTCTAAAGTTTAAACTTTTGCTGAAATTTTGCTAAAATTTCAGTAATGTGACTGCACCCTAATTTGCACATTTTTGAGGTAACTGATAAATTGTTTATAAACCCTGCTGAAACATATTTTTCTATATTGAGATATTTATCAGAAGAAGAAAAAAAACTCTGAAAGCCACTGATAAACAAATTCAGCCGTTTAGTGATACTAATCTAGTATGGCTACTGTACAAAAACAGCAAGTAGGCTCCTGTAGGCTACGCGACACGAGAGATCACTGCAGCAGTACGTCAAGTCTCGACGGCCTCAGTTAGCCTATATAATCACACCAAAGCAATAAATAAGTAAATACATAGGCCTACATGTATTGCTTACTCGGGTCGATTACAGTAAACTATCAACACGCAGCAATCATAAGTAGGCTATGTGACTCTCCTCGTTTAAAGCATTAACTATTTTGCATTCAGAAGACGCCAGTGCTGGGCTTCTACCGGCAGATTGTGTTTACAGATATGCCAAGTTTGTAGACGTACATACTGTAGGTATGCAAACAGGTTACTGCTGGGGTCAATGCACGCCAGCACGCTTGCAGGATCTACCTACATCAAGACTGACCTGTCAAAACACAGGACTTTATGATGATAATTCAGTAGAAAAGTCCACTCACCCTTCTGTAGACGGACTTGCACGATCCGGTTAAATCACTGAGTGCTCAGCGGATTTATTTTCGAATGCGTTTACATTGTATGAGTGCATGCCTTGCTAGTCGACATGAATTCACATGGGACTTTTTGAGCACCCCGTGCCTCATCAGCCTGAGAAATGTAAACAGTTGCAAATATGAGTCACACTTCAAAGTGTCCGCAAAAGTAGTAAGCAGGTTGCCCTCGGTGACTCTCCTCGTAGTCGCAGTTGCAAGACATTAGATTTGAATGACAGGTCGTTCTGTGAGTCGAGGCGGAATCCCAGTTCATACGCCCCGCCCCCTCTGGTAGAATCAGCCAACCAAAATGCAGAACAGGCTGCTGTTCGACATGCTATTTTTAAAGAACCTAACAGACGAGTAACGTGGTGTTTATAGCACGATGAAAAAGTGACGGGGCAAAATGTGAGTTCAAAAATCTGTCTAAAACCATTTCAAACTGACAAATTATACATAGCCTATTTAAAAAATATAATCCTTATATATTTTGTAATGGGTCGCGGCAATACTTACTTGGAAGTATCAATGGTAAATTTCAGATTGCCAGATTTGAGTTCTTCAAGTGGCGGAACCGAGAAAAGGCAGCCTGCTGTGGCAAGATGCCGCACCGACAGCTTGGCTCAATCTTTTCTGTTACAAATTCAATCTCTAATGCATAACAGGAAATGGAGTGTTCAAAAAAGCCTGCCACTGCGGAAAATAGGCATTAACTAAAAAGAAAAAAGCAGGGAAAGTGGGGAAGATGTGTTTTCTCTCACGTGCTTGTTCCTCGGTGATTTCACCAGCAAAGGAAAATACTGAGTGTTTACACCAATGTTTGACTAAATGGGACAAAGGGCCAAGAAAGTCTACCTACAGTACAGTGTGTGTGTGTGTGACACAGCTGATGGTGCGTGGTCTGATTGAATAAGAGCAAGTGTGTGTGTGTGTGTGTGTGTGTGTGTGTGTGAGTGTGTGACACAGCTAATGGTGCGTGGTCTGATTGAATAAGAGCAAGTGTGTGTGTGTGTGTGTGTGTGTGTGTGTGTGTGTGTGTGTGTGTGTGTGACCTGTGTGTGTGTGTGTGTGTGTGTCTGTGAGTGAGTGTGGAATAAAGAGGGTATGTGTGTATGTGAGTGTGTGTGTGTGTGTGTGTGTGTGTGTGTGACACAGCTGATGGTGCGTGGTCTGATTGAATAAGAGCAAACAATCATTAATCTTGGAGTCTGACATTTGATTTCAGGTGTTCAGGGTAAACCCTGCTGTCCTGACAGACTGGTCATTATCTGCTAACCATAACCTCCTTATGAGATTGTAGGTCTCTTAAAAATAACTATGTATGACAATATAAATTGTACAATGTAAGTGTAATCTTGTCATAATTCTCATTGAGAAAAGTAACTTCATAAATCACCATAACAAAGCACAAAAATCACCATTAATTATCAACATTACTTTTACAAGAATAAAAGGCTGAAGAAAAACAAAAATAACGCTTTTCTTTTTGCAGTGCATTGACATAATATTACAAGAATTTGTGCTTATATGTCGAATAATAAGCAATGATCAGTAGTGCTTGAGGTTTACAATACACCCAGTATTTTTCTCAAACAGAGAAAGGACTTTACAATGAATGCCATCTGGTGGTTGGAGAATATTATTACAGTCTTAAGCAGTTAAATTCTGCTTCTCTCTCAGTTTTTAAAAGGTGCCTCTCTGTTCACTTGTGGTTTTTAATACACTAGACAATAAAAAAGCACAGTAGACTATAGGTGTTGCTTATAATGTACAGATTACTGAGTAAACATAAATGAGTAAACAGAAAGTATATGTTTAGAAGCAGGTTTATTTTAACATCCCTAAATGACATATATGTATGTAAGCCATATTTTGGAATGGAAATCAAATTCAAACCAATTGTTGTACAAAATAAACCAGCAAATGCATTTAAGGTAAATCTGACTGATTTGTAACTAGGAGGGGGTCTTATGGAGAGAGCTTATCTTTCTTAGGCATGACAACTCTGTATCTATCTATATTTATGTTCTACTGTATTTATGTTCTACTGTTAGTGTTATATGTATACACCAAGGGTCTGAGAGTAACGCAATTTCAATTCTCTGTGTGTATGTGCTGTACATGTGGAAGAATTGACAATAAAGCAGACTTGACTTGACTTGACAGCTGCAGGATGTGGTTTTACATAAGGTCAGACATTTGTTTACCCTCTATCTCATAGTGTTACTTTTACAATACTTTTAACAGTACCATACCTTTAACACAAACTCCTTCTTAAGATTCTTTTCAGTGTACTAGAAGACTTTTTGGAACTATCTGGGGCCTAAAATCTTCATAGTCTTGTTTTGTCCAAGCCACAGTGGGGTTCAGTGTATTATAGTAATGACTGGAGAGCACACTCAGCTTCCTGCTTCTGGTTTGGCAGCTGTGAAATGTTATTTTTGGAACAGAATAGTTGAGGTTCAGGGGAAAGCAACAGACAGCTAAAAAGAACTGAGAGTTTCACATTTTATTTATCTTGGGGAAACGTGTAGGTGGGATTCTGAAATTATGAGTTATATCATTTGAATATTGTACTAAAATACAGAATGCAGAAATTGAAGAAAATGGCAACCCTCACAGAATATGTTGCAAATGCTGAAAAACTGTGCAAATAAAGAAATCTATAGTACAAACAATAGAATATAAATGTATTTTAATAGAACATAAATATTTAAATATAACTATATAGCCTAGTCATTGTTAAAACATGAACAGAAATCCAGTCAATTTTGTTATTTTATAAATGTATGTTGTTTTGACCTGTCCCCCGTCTCGTGTTTCTAAATGTAGGCTACCTATATTAACAAATATTTTAAAATATTAAAAACATGGGAATAAATGGTATTTTGTCTTTATTATCTCTGTATAGATAGATAGATAGATTTTAATTTAACTTGAGATGGCACAATGACATTTATTAACACAAAATAGAAAATAAAAATGATAATTATAATATGCACGGATATCAGCAACCCTTTGCCTTGTTGCATCATTTCATAGTGGTCCAGGAGTGCGCATGCCCTGGATCTTCATCTTTAAAAGACCCCTCGTCATTGGTAGATGCAGCACATGTCTATAAATGCCGGCTGGTTTTTACAAGCGCTCTCCAGTCCGCTCCATTCCAAGCGCACGCACGCTGCTGATGAGAAAAGCCTGGTAGCCTACTCTTTTAAACGTGTGGAAAGACTGAGCGTGTAGGAAAATCATGGAGGAAAAGAAGAGCGAAATCAATGGACACGCCGGGCACAAAAACCCGTTACCAGCAGTCTCAACAAAATCAGAAAAGAACAGCTTTAAAGACCGGTTCATGGTCTTCCTCAAAAGAAATCTCCTAGTGCTCTTGACGGTGTCCGGGGTTCTGGTGGGCGTCGGGCTCGGGATGATGGTCCGGAACATGAACCTATCCCGAGCGCAGATGACTTACTTCGCCTTCCCCGGAGAGATGCTGCTGAGGATGCTCAAGATGATCATCCTTCCTTTAGTGGTTTGCAGTTTGATTTCTGGCGCTGCGAGTCTGGACACGCGGTCGCTGGGAAAGCTCGGAGGAATCGCCGTGTCTTACTTTCTGGTGACCACTCTGATCGCTTCATCCATCGGGGTTGCGCTCGCCTTCATCATCAAACCGGGCGTGGGAGCCGGAGCGCTGAACACCAACAACTTGGGGCTGGAAGGCGTGAGCTCCAACAGAGAGACAGCGGATTCGTTTTTAGATCTTGCAAGGTATCATTTGGTTAAGGAAATGAATGCTAATAATAACAATATTATTATTTAGCAATAATTGTTCATTAATAACAAAAGCCTATCATTCAACGTGAGAAATAAAGCAGTCCACTATAAAGCATCACTTAATCCGCGCCTGCAAGCATGATTAATGCAGAAGACATGCAGATGAAGTGACAGTTCATACTTTACATCTTTTTTATTTTAGGCATTTAAATCACATATTGATGCATTTAATTATTGCCAGAGACAAGGAAATAAGAGCTAGAAAAACAGATGGAAAAATGCTCATATTTCTGGCAAGAGAAAGTTTTATTCCACATATAGTGCGAGTCCAGCAAAAATGGGGCAAATTTGATTGATAAGCTTTTAAACTTACTTAGAGTCTGTTTTAACATGTCAAGGATTTAGAAAGAGAAACAGGGTCATTAGGTGCAGATGGGATGTTTTTTTATGCAGTGGGAGAATGTTTCTTTATCCAGTGGGATTTCCATCGACATTTAACTGGATGGAGGCCAGAAAGGCTTTAAAAGAGAACATAGATTAGCAGGATTAATACAGAAATGCCTGGCAATTATTTAAATAGCCAGTTACAGACTGGTCCAAACTAATTCTTGTAGATCTATTCCAGGTTGTATTAATTATCTCTAACTGAAATATGTTTATGGATTTTAATTTTGCTATCACATGCAAGTCAACATCAGATTATACAAACATTGTATATTCATCTCAGTTAAAGACCCATTATAGATACTGCATGTGAACCTTTAGAGCCAGTTCACACAAATACTATTTTGCATTCCACTGCACTGATTTTAATGTGTAAATGAGTTTTTCAATGTAAACATGACATCTGTCTTGCAGTTTTTTACTATGCCAAAAAGAAGATATTTTTTTCAACATTTATTTATATTTCTTACCTCACCTACCCAATTTCTACTTTTGAGGTAGTAAGGATACTACCTCAAAAATTAAACTGAGTGCTCCAGCTCATGTAATTGGAGTTTTTGAGAAACAGGGGTTCTGAATGACAGGGTTTGTGGGGGATCACTGTCATTGTCTCTGTGTATACCAGTCTCAAAGTCCTCTTCAGCTAAACTTTAAATGCTGCTTTTGTCAGTATTTTGGCACTAGACTTGCACAGAAACAAGCTCAGAGCAGAGAAATGATCAAATGCATCACAGTTCATGAAGCTGCACACTGAAATTGAAATTGAAATTGGTCAAAATAGCTCTGTGATGAGCACTGCATGTAGCTCATGATGTTGTCCTTCTCTGACTCTTTCTTTTGTCACAGTATGTCACTGATTATAAGACAATTCTTGTTGGAAATGGAACAAACGGAACCCTCAACTACCAGAAGGTACACAATCTCTTTCTCTTTCTAATAATATTTTATTATTATTATATTATGATTTTATATATTATTATTATTAATAATTATTATTAGCATTAGGTTATTTTCCTATGTTAAGAATGCACTATCAAGTACACAATTGTCAACACACACATCATGTCACTTGTTGAAAGTGAATTTCAAGTCGGACCGGGGCCTCTTGGCTGGTTTTGTTTCCGACCACCGTAGTGTAGGCTCTTTGGCAGCCTTGAATGAGCTTGCTGTTTGTTTGCACAGGGCTAGGGTTGACGCAGCCGCTTTTGCTGCTCCTGTCCCACTGAGCACTCAAGCAGCTGGAGATGGCAAGCCTTTCCCAGAGGACTTTTCGATGTGCCTCCCATGTGTCTGCATTCTAGTCTCAACAATATGCTTGTAGAATGACTCAGGATGTGCAGATTTTACTTTTTTTTTTTTTTCTAATGAATATTTGTTTTTCTATCATTATATTTGTACAATCAGTTAAATCCAGTCCCACAAGCATGCAGGTCTCCACAGAGATGCAGTTCTCCATATTGCAAAGTTTATGTCCTGCCACTTGCATATTTGTTAATTAGGAATTGTTGATCCATTTAAAGGAGTCATATGATGCTGCTAAAAAGAACATTATTTTGTGTATTTGGTTTAATGAAATGTGTTTATGTGGTTTAAAGTAAAAAAAAAACACATTATTTTCCACATACTGTACATTATTGTTTCTCCTCTATGCCCCACCTTTCTGAAACGCGTCGATTTTTACAAAACTCATCGGTCTGAAAAAGCGAGGTGTATGCTGATTGGCCAGCTATCCAGTGCGTTGTGATTGGCCGAATACCTCAAGCGTGTGACAGAAACGTTATGCCCCTCACATACTGTGATTGAGTGTCCCAGCCAGAGCGACGACACAAAAACATTAAAACCCATTACAAACGAGGCATTTGTTGCATCCAGTGGGGACATAATTACTGATTATAATGACTTATACTGTCTTTTTACGCGTTGCGTTGCATTGCATTGCATCGTGCCACGTAAACATAAAACCCTGTCTGCATTTGTGATCGGAGAAATGACAAACAACAAGTGCTACTCCACACTGCCCAAAACTCACGTTTGAATCATCAGTGGCAAATTATAAAAGAAAACGTACTTACGTGAGTCAGAATTGCCAGCATTTTAGTCTAACGTTGCTCTCCCAGAATCAGTAAACAGTCCTCCATAAAATGTGCCGGCGATCCACAGCACTAAGTTGACGTATTTCCTCAGCGACCAGCACAGATCAGCTCCAGGCATGACGAAGCGGATATCGTCCTCTTTTGAAAGACCAAACAAAGTAGTTTCACTTTCACAACGAAGCACACAGCGTCTTCAGGACATGGCGGCAGCGGCAACAATACTA